TTCGTCCACTGTCTTTTACTATTGTTGATATATCTGAAGCCATTGTAATTCTTGATACTTTGGCATGTGACTTATCCACCCCACTCCCCACCTCCTGCCCCCAAGCCTGTGAAATCTTCTTTGCTTTCAGTGTTCTAGAGACTTACAACCATGTGCCATGGCCAGGGTCCATTTTCATCTATTGTGCTATGTTCTAATTGGACACCTTCAATTTGGAAACTCAAGTCACGCATGAAATTTTTCTTGATCTCAGGCATCATTTCCTTTCCTGCTTGCCCCTTCTCCCACCCCCACTATTTTTGTCTTGCCAGAACTTCTAGTAGTTGAATGTTCGATTTCCTAGTGTAGACCCCTAGTTTTCTTTTTTTTCCTGTCCTGTTCTTTTTGCTTAACTGCTAGAAATTTTATCAACATTATCATCTAACCCTTCTATTGAGTTTTGCAGTTTGTATGGTGTTTTTATCTTTTGAGAACCCTTTTTATGGTCTCTGAGTACTCTTTTTTTTTTTAAGTTTATTTATTTTGAGGGGGGTGGGCAGGGATAAAGAGTGAGAGAGAATTCCAAGCAGCCTCCTCACTGTCAGTGCAGAGCCCAGCGTGGGGCTCAATCTCACAAATGGCAAGATCATGACTTGAGCCAAAATCAAGAGTCAGATGCTTAACCAACTCAGCCACCCAGGCACCCCCTGAATATTCTTTTTTCATAGAATCTTATTTTTGTTTCATGGTTACAACATCGTCTTATCTCTTTGAGGAATGTGAGGTTTCGAAATTTTTATTTTCCTGACTAATACCTGTTTCCTCCAAGTTGCCTTTTTTTCCTATTTGTTCTGGTCTCTATCTTTAAGGTAAGAGGCTTTTTTTGTTTTGTTTTGTTTTTTATTATCTGTTCATAATTAAAAGGCTTGATTTAAAAAGCTGATGAAGGGGCACCTGGATGGGTCAGTCGGTTAAGCTTCTGCTCTTGATTTCAGCTCAGGTCATGATCTCATGTTTCGTGAGATCAAGCCCCACATTGGGCTCTGTGATGAAAGCTCAGATCCTGCTTGGGATTCTCTCTCTCTCTCTCTCTCTCTCTCTCTCTCTCTGTGCCCCACCCCTGCTCCCATGCATGCACTCTTTCTCTCTCTCTCAAATAAATAAATATTAGAAAAAATAAAAATAGGGCTGTGTGCTGACAGCTCAGAGCCTGGAGCCTGCTTCAGATTCTGTGTCTCCCTGTCTCTCTGCCCCTCCCCCACTCATGCTCTGTCTCTGTCTCAAAAGTAAATTTTAAAAAAAAATTACAAAAATAAAAAGCTGATGAGAAGCCTTGAGCACATGGGTGAGGCTTGTAATCTTTCTTTTCTTTTCTTTTCTTTCTTAATTTTCTTTCTTTCTTTCTTTCTTTCTTTCTTTCTTTCTTTCTTTCTTTCTTTCTTTCTTTTGTTTTTGAGAGAGAGAAAGTGAGAGAGAGCAAGCAAGGGAGGGGCAGAAAGAGAATCTGCCCAGCTCAGAAGCAGACACAGAGCTCTATCTCACAACTGTGAGATCATGGCCTGAGCCTAAATCAAGAGCTGGCTGCTTAACCAACTGAGCCACCCAGGTGCCCCAAGGCTTATAATCTTTAAACCTCACTGTAGGATGATCTGGGTGGCGTGTAAAGGAATCCCTGTGGCTAGTACTCTTAGGTATTTTTTTTTAAGACAGGTCAGATTCTTGAGAGGAGAGTATAATGATATTATACTGAATAATAAGGGTACAGCTACCAGGCTTCTTAGAGTTGCATTGGGGAGAAGGCTGTGAGTGCCTTCACTCGGTGGTCAGTAAGCATCCAATCACTTATTTCCTATTTTCTTGTCCTCAAATATGTTGGATGTCTTCCAGTCCAGAGGCCCTTCTGTTTCACCATTTCTGGAGAATAAAACTCTGGACATCTCAGATGAGACGGGTAGTATCCTATCTCCTAGTGGCTTGGAGTGAAGGAATGACCTGAGGCAGTGCTTCTCAAATTTTAATGAACATCTAAATCACCTGAGGATCTAGTTAAAATGTAGGCTCTGGTTCAGTAGGTCTGGGATGGAGCCTAAGATTAAGCTTCAGGGAATGGTGTGCTGCTGGTCCAAGGTAGGGTCCCATTGTGAATAGCAAGGACTTAGGGATCTAACTGCTTCTCCGACAACTTTTCACCTAGTCCTCATTATTTTAGCCATTCAGTCCACCACCCACCCAGTTCTAGAGCTTCCTGCTTACTGCCTCTCTAGAGGATTCCGCAGTGGCTGTGGGCTTAGGTACCAGTTTTATCACGAATGACCTGAGGCACAGCCTTTCCAGGTTGGCTAGTTTGGTCACCACTGGTCCACCTGCTTTCTGGCTTCCAAATGTTGCTGTTGTCTTCTCTCCTTTTCGTGCTATCCTTGTGAATTTATGTCTTTTTAACAATTCTTCAGGCACCTGACTGGCTCAGGCAGTGGAATGTGTAACTCTTAATCTCAGGGTTGTGAGTTCAGTTCCCATGTTGGGTGTAGAGATTATTTAAAAATAAAATCTTTTTTAAAAATTAAAAAAAAAATTCTTTAGTTTCAGGGGATTGTTCAGGAAGGAGCAAAGTAGAGGTGTGTGTTCTGCCACATTCACCCTAACTATTACCATCTGCTAAAATATTTTTCTAAAGTTTGGCTACATCAGCATAAATAGAGCCTGATTTATGATAAATAACTGCTATTTTAAACCTCTAGTTTTTTGCACAAGGAACATTCTCTACTTCTCTCGTCCTACTTTGTCTGCCTACCAAACTCTTAGCAGTCCAAACCCAGCTCAGTTGGGTGGCCTCTGTGAGCCCCTCAGTCCCCAAGCCACCAAAGTCTGTATATTCTCCTGACTTTAACTCATAACCAGCTGCTTATATGGTGTCTCTTCCAAACAACTGAGTAAGCTCTTTAGGGCCAGGGCATGTACCTTTGTAGCTCCGTGCCCAAGATATAATAGGAGCTTACAGCTGTTAGATTAAGTTCTGTGTGCATGCCTTCTTTCCCCCTTCATTTTCTTTCTGTTCTCTTCACCTCTTTTTCTGTTAAGAGGTCATTATACTTATTATCCATTCTATTATCCAATAAAAACTCATGTCCCGTATTGTTAATTTAAAAGTAAATGAGTAAAATAGGGGCGCCCTAACTCAGTAGGTTAAGCGTCCAACTTCAGCTCAGGTCATGATCTCATGGTTTGTGGGTTCAAGCCCCACACCAGGCTGTCTGCTGTCAGCACAGAGCCTGCTGTGGATTCTCTGTCCCCCTCTCACTGTCCCTCCCCTGCTTGCACACATGCATGCTCTCTCTCTCAAAAATAAACATTAAACAAATAATAGTAAATGAGTAGAATAAATAATACTTCTCAATTTCTAATACCTACTTCATTAAATAAAAGAGATTTAAATGTTATATAAACTTGGGGCACCTGAGTGGCTCAGTTGGTTGGGCATCCGATTTTAGCTCAAGTCATGATCTCATGGTTCGTGAGTTTGAGCTTTGCGTAGGGTGAGCTGGAGCCCAGCTTCAAGGGTGGGTGCTGACAGTGCGGAGCTTGTGTGGGATTCTTTCACTCTCCCTCTGACTGTGCCCCTCGATCATTGTGCCCTCTCTCTGTCAAAAATACAAGTAAGTAAATAAGTTTTAAATAAATAAATATAATATAAACTCCATTTGATTTTTCTCCCCAGCTCTAATCACTATTCAAAAACAAACATTTCCTCAGTTCTAGGTGAAGACATAATACACAATCTTTTCTTCCTTCCTTCCTTCCTTCCTTCCTTCCTTCCTTCCTTCCTTCCTTCCTTCCTTCCTTTCTCTTTCAGTAAGCTATACGCCCAGTGTGGGGCTTGAACTCACATCCCCGAGATCAAGAGTTGCATGCTGTACTGACTGAGCCAGCCAGGAGCCCCTAAAGACATAATTCTTACCAACTGATGGAATTATCTGTTGAAGGAGTTTGAATCTAAATTATTTAAATAAAAGTAATTTTTAGTTTTAAAGATAAAAAATAAAATGCTTATAAAGACTACATGACCTCACTCACATTTCTAGCCTAGAACTTTTTCAGAGCAAATGTACTGTTGTCAAAATGTAACCCAACAGGGGCTCCTGGGTGGCTCAGTGGGTTGGTTAAGTGTCCAACTCTTGATTTTGGCTCAGGTCATGATCTCATGTTTCGGGAGATTGAGCCACCCACTCAGGAACCCTGCCTCAGGCTCTGCCCTGACAGCAGGGACCCTGCTGAGCTTCTCTCTTCCCCTGCTCATGTGCACTCTCTCTCCCTCTCAAAAAAAAAAAAAAAAAAAGTAAACCAACTGAATGTGGCTGGCTTCTAATCTAGTGTTTGATTTAAATAATGAAATCAAGGAAAATGCATAATCACATGCCCACCATTCCCATCTCAGTGTGAGTTCCAGACATTATGTCGGTTACTTAATGTCTTGTAGTTCAAATGATTTTTCATCCTTTAAAAGAAACATAGAAATGCCCTCAAATTGAAAATCTAAGTAATCGTTGCATTATTTAATTAAGAGCACATTTAAGTAATTTAACCCTGAGAGGTTTTTAGATTAATCTGCCATAAATATGCTATATTTTAATTGATTCAGTTGCAATTACGCACACTTTTGGAATTTTTGCTTCAATTTACATTTTAGTATTTTTTTAAAAATATTTTTCACAAGTGGAAAATAAGTGCATTATTGTTTAATTATTGTGGAATTTAGGGAAGTACTCCATTGGTACTAGATCAAGATTTTGAAAGTAAATTTTAGTTTATAATTACCTAAAGGCTATTACTATTCTAAAATTTATTTTATTTTGCAGTTCACTTTTTTGTTCTATATTAATAACATAATCTCCTTTATGTACTGTTGCTCTATACATATATATTTCAGAAATTATCAGTAACAACATGAATATAAATTGGGATTCCGGCTAATCTTTTGTACTTCATGTTCTTTGATAACCAGGTTTTGATTCTGACTTTTGAAGATGGATGAAGGTATAGAAATTTCAAGTGATGGAAATTCCCTGATCAAAGCAGTCCATCAGAGCCGGCTTCGCCTCACAAGACTCTTGCTAGAAGGTGGTGCATACATTAATGAGAGCAATGACCGTGGGGAAACACCTTTAATGATCGCTTGTAAGACCAAACATGTTGATCACCAGAGTGTCAGTAAAGCCAAAATGGTTAAATACCTGTTAGAAAACAATGCTGACCCCAACATACAGGACAAATCGGGGAAAACTGCTTTGATGCATGCTTGCTTAGAAAAAGCCGGTCCTGAAGTTGTTTCCCTGCTCCTAAACAGTGGGGCTGATCTCAGCTTGCAAGATCATTCTAGTTACTCAGCCCTTGTTTATGCTATAAATTCAGAGGATAGAGAGACCCTGAAAGTTCTCCTTAGTGCTTGCAAGGCAAAAGGGAAAGAGGTCATTATTATAACGACAGCAAAATCACCCTCCGGTAGGCACACTACCAAACAGTACTTAAATATGCCTCCTGTAGATATGGATGGGTGTCATTCCCCAGCCTCCTGTGCCACTCCTTCAGAAATAGACATAAAAACAGCTTCGTTGCCACTTACACATTCTTCTGAAACTGAAATGACACTTTTTGGCTTTAAAGGTCTGGAGCCCTCAGGAAATAGTGATGACACACAGGACCCAGGCTCCCCTGTGAGGAAGCCTTCTATGGCCTCTAATGGGCCCAAGCTACCCCAGGCTCCAACCTGGATCAAGAGTCCTCCCTTATTCATGCACCAAAACAGAGTGGCCTCCTTGCAAGAGGAGCTCCAGGATATTACTCCAGAGGAAGAATTGTCCTACAAAACCAATGGGCTGGCACTTTCCAAGCGATTCATCACTAGGCACCAAAGTATTGATGTAAAAGACACTGCACATTTGCTGAGAGCCTTAGATCAGGCCAGCTCAAGAAAGATGTCATATGATGAAATAAATTATCAATCATTTTTTTCAGAAGGAAATCAGCAATGCATTGAAATCCCTGCTGAGCCAGATCCAGACTCTAACCAGACGATATTTGCTTCCACCTTAAGAAGTATAGTCCAAAAAAGAAACTCAGGAGCAAATCACTACAGCTCTGATTCCCAGCTCTCAGCTGGTCTTACCCCTGCAACTTTAGAAGATGGCAAAGCACTTATAGGAAAGAAAAAGATCCTCTCACCGTCTCCTTCCCTGTTGTCAGGGCCCAAAGAATTGTTGGAGAATATCTCACCAGGTCCCTTGAGCAGGAGAAATCATGCAATTTTAGAAAGGCGTGGTTCAGGAGCTTTCCCTTTAGATCACGGTATCACGCAAGCCAGACCAGGATTTCTGCCACCCTTAAATGTGAATCCTCATCCCCCCATCTTTGATATCAATGTCAATAATAAGATTTCCAGCCTCCTTTCTTGTGGTCAAAAAGTGCTAATGCCAACAGTTCCTATGTTCCCCAAAGAATTCAAAAGTAAAAAAATGTTGTTAAGGAGACAATCATTGCAAACAGAACAAATTAAGCAATTAGTAAATTTTTAAGAGATGACTAGAAAGCACATTTTGTCCAAATGTCTACATCAGAGAAATATAGAACCCGAAAATAAATCTCAAATGTTCATCTTTTAAAATCTTATAATTGGTTAGTCAATAATTGTTTGAGGTATCAAAATATACTGTGTATCATATTAGGTACCGTGGACACACAAATAATACATAGTTTCTGCTAAGGAAATTCTCTCAAACAAAATTAAAGCTATACTTCTCAAAACCTCTAATATTTAACAATCTTCATATGGTCCAAGTTTTTATTTAAGCAAAAATCAGCAAAAAAAAAAAAAAAAAAAAAAAAAAAAAAAAAAAAAAAAAAAAAAGTCACATGTGGTAGAGATGACTTTAAAATTTTTTTCAGATTTTTCAGATATTTTATTAGGAAACACTGCATTCAAATCAATAAATATTTTTAACATTAAAAATCAACAAATAAGATTGTAATTTTCCATGATGCCAAAAGCATAAAAAAAAAGGGACAGCTATTAAAATGTTCTATGAACAATAAGCCAAAGGTACAAAGCCTAAGCCATAAAGAAAGAATGAACTAATTCTTAAAAAATGTTGACTGCAGGTAGGTGAAATCTAATTAAAATTAAAAATTTTTTTCTAATTCAAATTTTAAAAAGACCAACGTATTATAGTAGACTAGGCAGCCAATATTCATATGGTCAGTTTAATCAACTCCAAGTGACAGATCAGTTTTACAAGCTAGTAATAATCTATGTGAAGTGCTGGTGTGCTGTTTTTTGCTTTTTTTATTTTGATTTTAATGTACTTTCATGGAATTGTTTCTCCATATCTTTTAATTCCTGCTATTATTTTTTAAAGCCTATATATAGGTTCTCAACAACAAGATAAAGCAAAAGGTTTAAAAGCGTTCCTCTTTACTTATATCAAATTACTCTTGTCGTTCTAAGGACAACCAAAAAATGGGGATTTATCACAAATAGAAACTATATGCTTGCTTCGTTTTAGAGAAGAAAAGCTGATTATTAGATTATCTTAGATTAGCTAAAATTAAGAAAGCCAGTAGAAACTTAATTACAAAATATACTACATATTCGGCCAAAATTAAACAGTATCTTTAATTTCTAATATATAATCATTAGACATTTATATAATAAGAATAATAAGGGTAATTTCCTTAGCGTGACATTCCAATCACCTAGTATTTAGGACCTATGAATAACTTCTAATTAAATAAATGAATACCATGCTACTATCATAAAATGTTACAAAATGACTATATTATCTGTCTGATTTCAAAATGTGGTGTTTATACAAAAAATCCTCATTTCAATCTAGCAGTTTTACAACAAAGAATAAGTCAAATTATATAAAACCTGAGTATATTAATTTGATGACTGTCATATACAACTTTATTTCTTTGCCTATTAGTAGAGGAGATCCTAACAATTGGCATGATGCTTGGTAATTTGATATAAGCAAGTTGTAATGTACATGGTAATTATTTAATTTCTTGTGGCTTTTATTTGAAAAAAATAATTGGAGGTTTTCCATTTAATGTTTTGAAGAACAATAATGTAAATTACATTAGAAATATTTTTTGATTCAGAACTTAGAATTGTACCTGATGTTTATAGGTAGCTAAACCCTTTTTGCAAGTTTTAATATTGAGAAAAGTGCTTGGCTTTGAGTTGTAAGTATACAGTCTGGAAAAATATGTAAATAGAGTAGTTCATAAACAAAATGGTATCAATAAAGATTTTAAATGTTATTTTGATTATCATTGCTTTTTATTTATTTCAAATACTAATGATAAATATTTCAACATAATCTCAGGAGAAACTGTGCCACATGTTACTTTGAGTAAATAGAAAACTAAGAAACAATAACTTCTGATGCAATTCACATCCCAATGTGCAAAAAATATTTAATAGGATTAAAGTTCGTTGAAGGTCATATTTATTTTACTTTTTTAATGTTTATTTGTTTTTGAGAGAGAGACAGACAGAGCATGAGCAGGAGAAGGACAGGGAGAGAGGGAGACACAGAGTCCAAAGCAGGCTCCAGGTTCTGAGCCGTCAGCACAGAGCCCCAAGCTGGGTGGAACCCATGAATGGCGAGATCATGATCTCAGCCAAAGTCAGACACTTAACTGATTGAGCCACCCAGGTGCCCCTGTTGAAGGCCATATTTAGAAGAGCTCTTAGTCTTCCATCAATCCTAAAAACATGTTAGGGGCTAAGGTTGCTTGAGTTAGTATGCAAAACCAACCTATGGGACTTTTCACTCTATTAAGTAGACTATATCACTGGGATCCCAATGGTAAGTCACAGATGTTTTCAACAGGAATCAGATATGTATACATGTGCTATATTTTAACTTAACGTAGAAGTATAATTTAACTTTAATTTCAAGGTATGATGACACTTCATTCTTTAGTTTTACAGGTACCATTCTTAGTTACTTGTGGCTAGGATTTCCAAAGAGTACAGCTAATACTTATTCACAAGATAATTTTGGGGAGAACATAGGGCAGTCCTAGTTACAGAGACAAGTGGGGACAGTGTCCTATCCAAGCAGTGTCCAGGCAAGGTGGTGAACACCTGCCTGGCATATTCTTTGGTGGAGATGTACGCATCAGTTATCCAGTACCTGAACCATTTAAAATCTCAAATGATAAAACTACCCTTGTTCCGCTTAAATATTCACTATGTAACCTTCTAATAATTTGATTCCCATGTAGCTTGTTTAAAGGGAAGAATGGCAAAAAAAATGGGGCACCTGGATGGCTCAGTTAAGCATCTGACTCTTGGGGCGCCTGGGTGGCTCAGTCGGTTAAGCGGCTGACTTTGGCTCAGGTCATGATCTTGCGCTCCGTGAGTTCGAGCCCCGCGTCGGGCTCTGTGCTGACAGCTCAGAGCCTGGAGCCTGTTTCGGATTCTGTGTCTCCCCCTCTCTCTGACCCTCCCCCGTTCATGCTCTGTCTCTCTCTGTCTCCAAAATAAATAAACGTTAAAAAAAATTTTTTTTTTGAAAAAAAAAATAAATAAACGTCTGACTCTTGATTTTGGCTCAAGTCATGATCTTATGGTTTGTGAGATGGAGCCCCAAGTAGGGCACTGTGCTGACAGTGTAGAGCCTGGTTGGGACTCTCTCTCTCCCTCTCTGCCCATCCCCTGCTTGCATACATGCACACACTCTCTCTCTCAAAATAAATAAATACACATTTTTTTTAAAAAAAGGAAGAAATTAACTTGTCAGGATGATGACAATTGTATTAATCATGTTTTTTAATTTTGTTTATTTTCTGATGCTTTGATATCTTAGGGCCTTGTTGACAGTGGATGGACTGCCCCTCCCAAGGTTAGCTAATTCCTAGAGATAGAAAATAACTTGCCACAGAATGTGGCAAACCAACCAATGTATGCATTATGTATGCAATGCATACACAATGCAATTATGTATGCAAACTAACCAATCCAGAATCCATATACTCCAAATATCTCCTTTATCGGGCTCTCACAGGGCTCTCTCACTCAAGGCAACTACCCACCTGCCCTAATCAAGCCAGGATCAGGTACCAAACAACCAGAGACAGCTCCTACACCTCAGAAACCACCAAAATTATTCAAACTAGCCAATCCTAAGCCTGGTTACCTTGCCTCATTCATTCTTACAGAAACCATAATGAAGGGTCTTTCCCAAGTTTTCCCCTTACTACTCTGCCTCCAGGCAGACCCTGGTACTTTCCCACATTGGCCCTATGTGATGTAGAACGCTTGCCTCCTCTTGGGAATTTTAAGTAACAAACTACATTTTTCAATACAACTGTCTCCTGATCTGTTGGCTTCAACATATGTGAATAGTAATAAAACCTACATTTTAAAACAAGAAGGCACAGTCTTCTTGGAAGTCACGATTCTAAATAAAATAATAGTTAAGTTTATATAGCCTTGTTTAGTGCCAATATTCCTTAGCTCTAAGTCACATTTCTAAGTCATTTCTAAGTCTCCAAGATAAGAGGACCAGATCTGGACGATAGTAAATCCACTAAATTTACTGGAGCTCCCCATTGGCCTTCCCATGGTGACATCCTATCTCCTTGTATACCTTCTCTGAATGTCTACAATTCTTTTTTTTTTTTAAGTTTATTTATTTATTTAAGTAATCTCTACACCCATTGTGGGGCTCAAACTGATGACCCCGAGATCAAGAGACACACACTATCCCCCCAACCCCTGACTAAGCCAGCCAGGCCCCCCTGAATGTCTACACTTCTTTTTTTTTTTTTTTTTAATTTATATATGAAATTTATTGTCAAATTGGTTTCCATACAATACCCAGTGCTCATCCCAAAAGGTGCCCTCCTCAGTACCCATCACCCACCCTCTCCTCCCTCCCACCCCCCATCAACCCTTAGTTTGTTCTCAGTTCTCAACAGTCCCTTATGCTTTGGCTCTCTCCCACTCTAACCTCTTTTTGAATGTCTACACTTCTTAAAGGGAAGGCCAGGAGAGGAAAATCTGGCAAGAGTAGCTAACACAACAAATCACAACAAAAACAATTTAAAAGAATTTCAATTAGCGAAACATTGGATCAAAGTATAAGGATCATGAGTAGGCTACATTTAGGTTTTAAAAATCAATTGCTTAAGATTAGAAAATCAATAATTTACATGGAAAAACTCTAACAGTTTTAGTTAGATACTAAGTTAACAAGTTTGTCAGGACTCCTAACAAAGCTAAGACTATATTGTTAAAAGATTAACCAGTTTCTACTAGTGAATCTTACTACTGGTAGAGCAAATCTGAAATAGTTTTTTAATTCTAGATAGCACATCGTACAATATATATGTAAGAAGATAAAGATAATAAAAAATCTAGGAAAAAAATGTTAAAAGAGGTAAAAGAATTGATATCATTTAGCCAGAAGATAAAAGACTCAATTGAGATTAAATAGCTGATCTTAAATACGGAAGGGACTGAAACACTGACTTAGTCCAGAATCCTCCAAATTAAGAT